CTCTAGTAGGACCCTTATTTTCGATTTTCTCAGATGGGATTTGAACTAATGACATTTGGGTCTTTGTTTTTGGTATCAAAATTGGAACTAAGTGTGGCTTTGAAATGGGTGTTTCAGAGAGACCTTGTTTGACAAACTCTTCTTCTGGTGGTTGTGGTGGGGCTTCTTCATGATTCATTGGATTTGATTTGGGTAGTGAGGATATTAGATGAGGTTGATGACTTTCAAGGGAGTTATGGTTTTGTGGGTTTTGGTTTTTTTGTTGTTCTGCTGAAACAACCTATTTGGAAATTTTGGATTAGAAGGGAAAGTGTGTTGAACTTAGAAAAATGGGTGGCAGCGAGACAATCGCGAGGAGAATTGAAAGAAGACAGTATTTGAAGACAAAAAATTTATTTGAGGAAGATGTTATATGTAATAATTACTTGTTTCCTTCCGTGAAAAGATGAGAAACGTTGTTTCCTTTTTATAATGGCAGGCAATATTTGTTGGGCAAAACCAAGGATTGGACAAGGTTTGTTTATCACTTGATTAATTGTTTCCTTTTGATGACGAAATACAGTATTTGTTGGACAAAACCATGGATTGGATTGGTTCTGCCCATCAATTAAAAAGTGAATAAGTTTTTAGGGGTTTGGATTTTTTTTTCTTTTGGGTTTTAGGATGAATGTATGGAGAAATGCACGAAGATGATGAATATGGATGAGGATGATGAATATGAGATATGATAAATGAAATATTAAATGACATGGAAAAATTAAATCTAAGTGGCATGAAAAAAGGATGAAATGACAGGGGAAAAAGTGCTATTTATTATAAAATAGGGAATACTGTTATACTTCATTTTTTAGCGATAGCTGGTCTATTTAAATCAAGGTTATCAATCTTGGAGGATAGCGGACCGGCGCACAGTCCAGCCGCTATGGCGTAGCGGTTCACATCTCAGTTTGAGATCGCGACCGCTTTTTGGCTCAGAGTGGGACGCAGGAGCGGGTGCTTCCCGGTCCAGAGCGGGGTTCAACCCACTTCACCCTCTTTGCCTTAACTTAGAAAACTCCTCATCCTTTTCTCACTTCCTCACGTGTTTCACAGTTATCATCGCTTCCAAAGAAAACTCTCATTGTCTTCTTCTCACTCGTTTGATTCCTCCCTCCCAGTGATGCCGCCGCCTGCAATCCTCTCTTCTCATATTGTTTTCCTCTGTTCTTCTTACTTCTTCTTACTTCTTCTTTCTTTTCTTTCTTCTCTGTTTCCTCTCTTCTTCTTCTTCTTTAATGTTTTAATCAAATCTGCTTTTTCTTTTCTTTTCTTTTTTCCTTCTTTTTTTCCTCTTTTCACTGTACTTTGTTTCTCTTTTTTCTTTACTCTTCATCTATTATGCATAGATATGGGTGGGGTATCCGGTGCGGGTACAAATACGGGATACGCCATTTTAAAAAAAATCAAGGTACGGGTACGTTAATAAAAAATAATGGTTTTCTATAAAATGTGTAAGTAGATAATTAAATTGTTAGGTCACAACAAAACATCATTATAAAAGTTTAAAAAAATAAAAAATAAAGTTAAGATACAATAACAAAGAAATTAAAATACTTTTATAATGGATACTAAATTGATATTTGAGAAAACTACAAATCTCATAAGAAACCAAAAAATGAGAAAAGGGTTCTTCACCATTTTAGAAGTGTCATGCTTCAGAGCTCTTCATTATGTTTTTTTAAATAATAATAATTTAATTGTTTTTTTTACTTCTCTGTCCTCTTTTTTCTCACTCTTTATTCTGTTCTATTTTCTTACTTCTCTTACTTGTTTATCCTCTTTGATATAATAGTACTCTAAGTTTGAATTTTAAGATGCGATGTTTAGAATTTGATTAAGACTTGTTGAATTTGATTAAGAGTTTTTGATTAAGCTTTTTGTTCATATATTTGATTTTATGAATCTCTTATGGGTATAGTTATTATTCAGATGATTAGTCAAAGAAATAGTCAAATGATGGTTTTCCCGCTATCCGCTATCATGCTATCCTATTTTTAGAATCGGTTGCTCCGCTCCGCTATATGGGATTGATAACTTTAATTTAAATAGGAGATTACAATTTCATGATGTCCTTAATTTTAGGAGAAATATTCTTAGAGCTTAATGGACATGTAACTTTACACTGTCGTTCAATAATAAACCAACAATTTGCCATGTGATCTAAATAATTTTAAAATATAAGTGATTTGGCAAAATACAAGATATTCATTGGTTGACAGTGTAAAATTACTTTACATTGTCAGTGCATCTCCTATTTTCTCATATTATTGTAATAAAAAGACTAAATATTGAAAAAGAATAAATAGGATGATTATACGATTACTCCAGTGTTCCCAGGAACTCGTCATTCTCTCAGTTTTGCATTAGGTTCTATGAGAGTATTTGCTGGTCTACAACCACTTGTTCTAGTTTCTTTCAGAAGATCTAAATATGTTTTTGTTGGGAAACAACAATTCCCTTCTTTGATCGGGCAACTTCCATACCAAGAAGAAAGTATCTTAAGAAGGATCCTAAGTCCTTGATTTCAAAGTTGGCAAGTAGTTTCCCTTTTACTCTAGCCATCTCATCTATATCGCCTCTGATAATAACAATATCATCAACATAGATTATTAGTGAAGTAAATTTCCCGTTGCGGTAGAACTTTGTAAACAATGTTTGGTAAGCTTGACCTTGAAAGTATCTTAAGAAGGATCCTAAGTCCTTGATTTCAAAGTTGGCAAGTAGTTTCCCTTTTACTCTAGCCATCTCATCTATATCGCCTCTGATAATAACAATATCATCAACATAGATTATTAGTGAAGTAAATTTCCCGTTGCGGTAGAACTTTGTAAACAATGTTTGGTAAGCTTGACCTTGAATGTAAGACTATTTTTTCATGGACTGAGCGAATTTTTCAAACCAAGCTATGGGAGACTACTTTAATCCATACAAGGACCTCCGATTTGCATACATTAGATCCAAAATTATTTTCAAAATTAGGAGGTATATCCATAATATACTTCTGCATCTAGATCGCCATTTGGAAATATTTTTAACATCTAACCGGTGTAGAGACCAATTTAAGTTGGCAACAAAAGATAAGACACTTCTAACAATGTTAAACTTTGCAACAAGAGCGAATGCTTATGAGTAATATATACCATAGGTTTGAGTGAAACCTTTAGCAACCAATTGAGCTTTCTATCTTTCAATTGAGCCATCTGAATTGTACTTCACGGTAAACACCCATACCCATTTGCTTCCCACAGTCTTCTTACCATCCGGTAGTGTTATAACATTCCAAGTCTTGTTCTTTTCAAGTGCTCTCTGTCAAACTCAGATTCGATGACTGAAAAACTGTGTGTTCTCCCTTGGGAGAATTCTCATATAAATACACGTTAATTTACAAGATAATTGGTTGATTCAATCTAATAAATCAGCATCTGTCATATATACATTTATGCAGTTTATTATGCTAATTAATACTACTAATTATATTCCAATAAATCAGATAGTGCAATATAATATACATTTATGCACAATTATTCTGATTAGTAATTATCATAATTGCAATCATTAAACCTATTGACATTCCCCCTCAAATTGATGCTGGTAAATCAGCAAGCTTCAATTTGCTAACTAAAAAGTTGTGCCGCTGACGTGTCAATGATTTAGTGAGGATATAACATGAGGTAGACTGATAACTTTGCGATCATAGACTTCTCGAATAGAGTGACAATCAACTTCGATGTGCTTCGTTCGTTCATGGTAAACTGGATTTGCTGTAATTTGTATAGCACTAGTGTTGTCAGCATATAACGAAGTTGGTTGTGCTTGAGCGAATCCAAGTTCTGTAAGAAGACCGCGCAACCATATTATTTCCGAACAAGCAACAGACATTGCACGGTATTCTGCTTCGGTGGACGACTTTGAAACTGAATCTTGTTTCTTACACTTCCAAGAAATATGAGCATTTCCTAAGAACATACACAAGCCGGTAGTAGACTTTCTAGTGTCTAGACACCCTGTCCAATCATCGTCACTATATGCTTGAAGTTGGAGTGTCGTATCAGTAGGAAAAAATAAACCCCGTTTTGAGGTTCCAATGAGGTATCTAATGATTCGTTGCACTGCTGAAAGATGGAAATGTCGTGGTGCTTGCATGAACCTGCTAACCGTGTGCATAGCAAAAGAAATATCTGGACGAGTGATAGTTACATAGATAAGACTACCAACCAGCTTGCGATAAAGAGTTGGATCATCAAGAAGGTCACCTTCATCTCGTTGATATTTAAGATTAACTTCCATGGGAGTGTCAACAGGATTTCCGCTTGTGAGCTCAGCAAGTTGGACTAGATCTTTAATGTACTTTTGTTGATTTAAAAATATTCCTTCAGGTTGATAATGTACCTCTAACCCCAAGAAGTAAGTAAGACGTCCCAATTCTTTCATGTGAAAAGATGAATGCAACATGTGCCTGATTTTAGAAATACCTTCTTGATCAGAACCAATCACCACAATATCATCCACATAAACAAGAAGCACCACAATGCCTTTAGGAGTCCTTTGTAGAAAAAGTGATGGATCATATTGATTTTGAATAAATGAAAAATCAAGTAAGGTAGATCGGAACTTTTCAAACCATACTCTTGGTGCCTGTTCTAAACCATATAGCGATTGTTTTAGTTTGCAATCAGTATTTGAGGAAGAAGTGGGCATACCATTGGGAAGTTTGATGTAAACCTCTAACTTAAGATCACCATGTAGGAATGCATTTTTCACATCCATTTGATGTAGTGGCCAAGATTGTGATGCAATAAGAGCAAGAATGGTGCGGACAGTGGTCATCTTGGCAACCGGGGAAAAAGTCTCGTCATAGTGTAGTCCATACTCTTATTTATTTCCAAGCACTACTAGACGAGCCTTGTAACGATCTATTGATCCATCTGAACGCAACTTTATAGAAAACACAAATTTGCTGCCTAAAGGTCAGTTGGAGGACAAGGTACAGTGTCCCACGTTTGATTTTCTTCTAAGGCAAGAGGTTCATTTTCAATAGCTGTCTGCCAACAACCATGCTCCATTGCCTGTTTATAAGAAGAGGGAATAGGAACACAGGACAATGCTGCTGTCAAGGATAAGGGATTAGAGAAACCATACTTTTCTGGCAGCTTACGGATGCGCGTACTGTGTCGTATAGGGCCTGGTTCTGGTTCCTGTGTTGGATCAGCAGTCGAGGAACTTTCCCGAAGGGGCCCGTGGGAGTCAGCTGGCTGATTTTGGGTGACAACACGACGTCTTTGGTAGGTCAATAGGGGCTTAGAGGATGGCTGGCCTGCAGAAGAGTTCGAAAATAGTGGCAAAACAGAAAATGTAGAAGAAGGAAGATCATGATGGGTTGCAAAAAAATATTTATTTTCAAAGAAAACGACATTTCTAGAAACCCGAATTCGACGAAGATTAAGATCATAGCATAGAAATCCTTTTTGATTGTGCCGTGAGTTTAGTGCATTCTTGTGGAGGAAGATGGACATAACACACATCCGAAAACACGAAGACTGGACTAATCTGGTGGGTTATCAAATACTTGGCCGAATGGAGATTCATTATTTATTGATGGGGATGGCAAGTTGTTTATAAGATGAACTGCTGTGGATAGGGCTTCACACCAAAATAGTGGTGGCACATGAGACTCAATTAAAAGTGTGCGGACAACATCAATCAAATGACGATTTTTTCTTTCAGCTACCCATTTTGTTGGGGAGTTGAGGGACATTATCTTTGAGATACAATCCCATTAGATTGCAAGGATTCTTGAAAAGAGTTTGATGTGTATTCAACCCCATTGTCAGAGCTAAGTATTTTGATTTTGGATGAAAATTGGGTCTAGACATAAGCATTAAAAAATTTAAAAGTGGAAAAAACTTCATCTTTTGAGCGCAAAAAATAGACCCATGTAAAACGACTATAATCATCAATAAAAGTTACAAAATGTTTGTAATTTGTATGAGATATAATCGGTGCCACTCCCCAAACATCACTATGGATAATATCAAAAGGTTGTGTTACATTCGGTTGATGTGTTGGAAAAGGAAGAATTTTACTTTTGCCAAGCTTACAAGGAATGCAATTAAAATGAATAAAATCAAGAGACAGAGTGTGTTTATTTCCAAGAAAACCAGATTTTAGTGTCATGGAGTACATTAAAATTTGGATGCCCAAGACGCCTATGCCACATTTGATAATCAACGGTTGCAACATTGCACAAAATAGAAGGTAAAGAAAGACTTGAAAACAAAGATAAATTGAGTGGAAAGAGACGTCCAACTTTAGGCCCCTTCGCGATTATCGTCCCTGGGTGTTGATCCTGCACAAGACAACCAGACTTTGAGAATTGTACTTGACAATCATTGTCAACTAATTGACCAACAAAACTAAGATTACTAGTGAGACCATGAGAAAGAAAAACATTGGTTAAAGTTGAAGAAATATCACCGGTTGCTGTGATAGGTAATTGATTTCCATTAGCAGTATGTATCTTGAGATTTTCAAAATATTTGGTGATATTATTAAGAAATTGAGCTTTGTTGGTCATGTGGTTCGAAGCCCCAGAATCAAAGTACTAAGGTGAAGATGATTTACCTGAGAATCCCAATGCAGAGAACGCTGAAATGATCATTTGCTGAACCATTTCAGGGGTCAAAGTCTGGACGGCAGTAGGCACATTTTGTTGGACAACAGTAGGCGCATTTTGTTGGACAGCAGTAGACGATTCAACCGAAGTTGTGAAGGCTGTTGCATTTCGCTTTGGTGGCCTAATTGGACATTCTTTAATAATGTGCCCATCCTTTTTGCAGTAATTGCTGAATTTTTTTGGACAGTTGGAGGCATAATGTCTATAGAGCGCTTGCAACAAAAGCATTGAATATTGTTCATATCATGGTTTCTTGACCTCCCTTGTGCTGTATACGCCACTGGGACAATATATGATTTTTGTTCTTCAATGATGGATTGTGTAAGCAAGCGCTGTTCTTCACGTAACAAATCATTGAGACACACATCCAATGAGGGTATTGGGTCTCTATGCATCAGATTTGAGCGGATACCTTCAAAATCGTATCTTAATTTCATAAGAAACTGATCACGTTTAGTAGTGTCATGAACTGTTTGTACTGTACTAAGGCCTTCGGTACTTAAATTTGAATAAACTATATCAGTGTATTCAGCTCAAAGATTCATGAATTGAGAGTAAAAATCAGATATAGAGAGACTTTTCTGTTTGAGATTAGCTATGTCGTGCTCAAGTTGGAAATCTTTGGGCTGCATTGTTCTGACTATAGATTTTCTTCAAGTAAGCCCACATTGTTGTGCAGTCTTGTAAGGTCGAAGGTTCAGAACAATGTTCAGATCAACCGAACCAATTATCCACAACATGATTTGAGCGTCTTTGACCACCCATTTAGCATGTTCAGCCTTATCTTTGTCTTTGTTGTTAGGGGCAGGAGTTGTTTCATCAACATGATCCCACAAATCTTTTCCTTTGACATATAAAAAGAATTGGAATTCTCAAGCTGAATAGTTTTTGCCATTAAGGCGAAAAATGAAAACATCTTGTTTTTCTTTTGACGTTGAATCGAAGAACATTGGTAACACGAGATGGAAATCTTGATTGGAAAAAAAAACACAAGGAAAAGAACAAGACCGAGAAATTCGGAGCGGAAAGACATGACCAGAGAACAGAGGCTAGATTTTGGATCGTGACATGCTCTGATGCCATGTCAAACTCAGATTTTCGATGACTGAAAAACTGTGTTCACCCTTGGGAGAATTCTCATATAAATACACGTTAATTTACAAGATAATTGGCTGATTCAATCTAATAAATCAGCAACTACCATGCATACATTTATGTAGTTTATTATGCTAATTAATACTAATAATTATATTCTAATAAATCAAATAGTGCAGTATAATATACATTTATGCACAATTATTCTGATTAGTGATTATCATAATTGCAGTTATTAAGATGTGGTTGGGCCTAATTCAACCCTACAAAACCGGCTTGTAGGGTGAGGATTGCCCCCACTCATATATTGTCCGATGTGGGACTCTTAACACACCCCCTCACGCCCAGGACTAGACAACTGGAGCGTGGAAATAAATGGTGGATGGTCCACTGGATCTTAAACGAGGCTCTGATACCATATTAAGATGTGGTTGAGCCTAATTCAACCCTACAAAATCGGCTTGTAGGGTGAGGATTGCCCCCACTCATATCCACCATTTAGTTCCACGCTCCAGCCCTAATTCCTGGGCGTGAGAGGGGGTGTTAAGAGTCCCACATCGGACAATATATGGCCTGAACATGAATTTATAAGTGAGAATAATCCTCACCTTACAAGCCGGTTTTGTAGGGTTGAATTAGGTCCAACTCACACATTCTAAGATGGTATCAGAGCCTCATCTAAGATCCCTTGGGCCATCCACTTTAGTTCCACGCTCCAGCCCTAATTCCTGGGCGTGAGAGGGGGTGTTAAGAGTCCCACATCGGACAATATATGGCCTGAACATGAATTTATAAGTGAGAATAATCCTCACCTTACAAGCCGGTTTTGTAGGGTTGAATTAGGCCCAACCACATCTTAATAGCAGTCATTAAACCTATTGACACTCTCGTCTACTCAAGTACTTTGGAATTTCTAGCGCATCTTGTATACTTTATGGAATTTCAACACTAGGCAATTGTGAGGTAAAAGCAGAGAATGATGAAGGCAAACTTGAGTAAGAAATAAATTTGGACAAAAGATGTTTAGTGCAAGACCTGACAGGTTTTCTAATAACTATTAGTTCATCAATATCATGATAGATGATACGACTATTAGACACTGAAATAAATTTACATTTTTTTCTTAGGAGATTGATCATTCTCCGGTTCATATTGATTGCATTGTTGGAATGTGGACTCATCATTCTTATTTATACTGCTAATTGTCTTCCCCGAGTTCAAATCATGAAAGACAATGAGTATGAAAAAAGTTAGTTTGACAATGTTTCTCATGAGCTAACATAGACTCACATCAAACTACAAGAAAGATTTGGGACATGAAGGACATTTGCAAGGGTTAGACTTAGAGACAACACATATGAGCCTCTACCTGGAATGGGTGAAAATGAGCCATCTGCGACATTTATCTTATTATTACTTGCACAGAGACTATGTGAAGATAAAACGTAGATTCACCGATCATATGATCAATAACACCTGAATGTACTATTTAAGCATGATTGAGAAATGTAACAGTTTGACACTAAGAAATGTACCTTTTTGAGCTATAGAGCACAAAGGAGTTGATTCGAGAAATTTAACAGTTTGCCTATTGGCTCCAAAGTTTCCCATCATAACTCCTTGCCGTACCTCCTCCATCCTTAAATTAGAAAAAGTTTTTTGAAGGGTTGGTGATGGTGTCTTATCCAAAATTCGGTCTCTAACTTTATCAAAATCTTTATTCAGAACAACAAAAAACATGAAGACACAATCATTTTCTCGCCTCTTATGGAACAAGACATTATCTTCTGCACATTTCCAGTTGTCATCATAACAAAAATCTAATTCTTGCCAGAGTTAACATTTCATAAATAAGTAGTTACATTCTGTTGCCTTGCTTAGCATGCCATAACTTTGACTTCACACTGAAGATTTGGGAGGAATTGAGAATATCAGACTATGTTTCCCTTTATAGCTTCCCACACTTCCATTGCAGACGGTAAGAACATATAGGGCTTGCCTATTCCGATTTCTATAGTGCCTACCAACCAAGCAATAATCATGGAGTTTTCTGACTTTTTTTTTAAAGAGGACTTTCTGGCTAGTTTTGCTATTGCACCTGTTAAAAAACCAAGTTTCTCTTTGCCGTCTATTACCAAAGTGACAGTTCTAGCCCATTCGTTGTAGTTTTTACCATTAAGCTTCGAGACATTGACTTTGAGGGAGGTTGAAGAATCCTCTCGGTCATTGAAACATGTGTCAAATTCACTATCACCATCGATCTTGCTGCCATCATCGAGGTCGCTGCCGTTACGATGTCCAAGACAGCCACCAAAACCACCGCTGCCGTTGTTACCATTGTCACGACCTCCACCATAGTCGCTGCAGCTAACGTGGCCTCCGCCGTTGTCGCGGCTTCCGCCGAGACTGGTGCCAATTGTTGAAAAATCATCATTGTTGTTACTCACGGTTGAACCAGTTAGAGCTTGCTGCCATTGAGTAAAATCCGCCGCCATTAAATTGAGTCGGGTCATTCAGACCAAATTTTCGGACCCCAAATTCCTCTAGTTGTGGAAAATTTTATAGTCGCACCCTAACCAAGGCTCACGATACTATATTAAAAAAATAGAGACTACTGTTATATTTTATTCGATCTCTTTAATTTTTAGGAGAATATTATAATAAAAAGACTAAATATAAAAAATGAATAATAGGGAGATTATATAGTTACTCCAACACCATTAACTCATATTACTATTTAAAGTCTATTATTTACATCATTAGGCATTTGTTTTTATGAAAAAGCAGTTTATTTGTTGAGCCGAGCATCTTGCTGACACTTTAGAACTTAATAAAGTGAACTGAATTAAAAAGTAACTAAGAATGAGATATATTGGGCTTGATTAGGGGCACAGATTGATAAATTTTTTTTCAGGTTATTGAAATGTCTGGGGTTTGTGCAGCTTCTGACATTTGGAGTGTTGGCTGTACAGTTATTGAGCTTCTTACATGCGTGCCTCCTTATTATGATTTGCAGCCTATGCCGGCTCTTTTCCGTATTGTCCAGGTTTTCTCATGTGCTATCATTCACTGTTTCCTCAATATATGAAGGTTACCTGGGTTTCTTGTAGAATTCGTCTCGATAGATATTACATGATTCTACAGTTGTTGAGTTCATAACAAGAGCACTTCATGGTAGCACACAATCTCAATATGCTCAATTACACAATTATAATTTGATTTGCATCTCTTGACTTTTCTCTCAGGATGAACACCCTCCAATTCCTGATAGTCTTTCGCCTGACATTACTGATTTTCTGCATCAATGTTTTAAGAAGGTAAACTGAATCTCAACTATTTATGGGAATCTTTTTCTTAATGCATATGGCGACCACGTTGAGGATATCGGTTTTAGTTTCATGAATGCTATTGCATTATGTATATTTGGTCCTGAGATCAAAGGAAGTGATTTTATCATTGTTGTCCATGTAGTTTTCTAACTCTAGATTTGTAGGACAGGCAAGTTTGATACTTGTATTGATGCAGACTTTGTGATTAAAACTTGTTTTATATACCACGTTGTTGCAAATGTCAGGATGCTAGACAAAGACCTGATGCTAAAACGCTGTTGTCTCACCCCTGGATTCAAAACTGCAGACGTGTCCTGCAGTCTTCTCTTCGTCATAGTGGATCATTAAGGTAGACAGTATGGGATACTATTGCCATATTATATTATATATAATAGTTGAATAAAACCATATAAGTATTTTGTTTGACTTTGTAATCTGTCAAATCACATCATTGCTATTGAAATCGTACTCGTAATAAGTAATGTTGCCTTCTATTTATTTTGATCGTTAAGATAGCTGTTCGGCTACCTGTTTTTTTTCATGCTTCGTATGTCTAATCTTAAGTTTGAGAGAATGTGTTAGGTTCCATATCCATTTCAAATCTAGCTTTTAAAGTTGAGTTAGGCCTACTCCTTGTTTAAGATGTCATAAGTCTATCATAGACTTGTCAATAGGCCACCCGTTTTTGTCCAATTCCTGAAGCTCAATCTTGGGCGTAACGAGATATGCTAAGATCTGTATCATATGGCCACCCACATTTTGTCTATGCTTCAAAGTGTCCAGTACTGAGCTTGAGGAGTTTTATTGAGATCCCAGACTACCTAGAGAATTGGAGATATGTATAAATTAGTCCTTATAAGGCTTGGGAAATCCTCACTTCACAAGCTTGCAAGTGAGCATTAGTGTATGAATTACTCGGCCATATCTAAGGTGTTAGTGCATTGGCAGTCCTCAATGGATAGCTGCTCATAAAGAGTACCACTTCTGGTTGTAATTTTTCTTTTACTCCTGTTTAGCTGTCTATCAGACAGCTATATCTGTATGAGTTAGTTACATAACTATTTCAGTTAGTTGTTATAGACTACTCTAAAAATTCTGAATTGTAACAAGGCAGAGGGGTAAAAATCATTATGCTTACTTAATTCTGTTAGTTAGTATTCAATATTGGTTTATCTGTAGCATTAAATCCAAAAGGAAATTGAGCCTTAGGAGGTGGAAATAGAAACATACCGGAATATGTCAAGAGAGCAAGTACCTGTTAATCACTTCTTTAGGGATGATACCAAAATAACTAAGCTTCAGACCTCTTATAAAGTTGCTGCTAGTCCTGGTAGACTCGCCTCCCTTTTTTGGTTCTGATGGGACCAGTTATAGTCTATGGGTCCCACGTTTAGGGTGTTTTCCAAATGTTACTTAGTTGTTTCATAGGTTGATGTCATGGTCGCGTCTAATGTCCTCGCAACGAGTTTTTTTTAATCTATGCGTCGGTTTTTGTCCAATTTTAGAAGTGTCGGTTTTTGACTTTGCTGCAATGGTAAAAGTTCCTATTAATTATTTACTCTGTCCATTGACATATCATTGCTTTTTTGCTGCTATTTTCGAGTTGATTTATAATTAGGATCATGATTTGGAGTTCTTATTTCAAATTTTGATTATTCTAGTCAAATTTACTGTTTTATGTGTCAGATCTAATGCATTTGTCAATGCCTATCTTTGTGTGTGTCTAGAACAACATGTTCTTGAATTTGGTAAATCACGGACACATTGTTCTGCCATTGCAGCATTGTTTTGGCATTTGGTTTGTTTCACGCCTTCTTTGCTGCTTGTTTGTTTTTGGTGCATTTAGGGAACTATGCAACTATTCTGCATTCTTTTACTTCTCTCTGGTCCGATTGTGCACATCCTTTTTGTTCAAGTTTGTTCATAAACATCATGTGTATTAATTATATGGTCATATGTTAACTCTTACTATTAGTTTCAAGCTGTTTGTTTATCGTCTGTCCAGGTTACTCATGTCAGAGTGTTTTTTTTCTTCTTTTTTGTCAATTTTGTATCTAATGGAAGGCTCTCTCGTTATTGATCTAAGCACAATGTCAATATTCTTCGGTAGTCTCTTCGTCTAACCAAAGTAAATGTTGAATCGTTGGCACCAGTCATCGATGAATTGTCCCCCGTGTTAATTTTCTCTTTTTGGTAGTCTCATTGTCCAACTATCGTCAATGTTGAGTAACCGGCACCGATCACACAACTAAGTTGCTTGTTTCAAGCAAATGACAATCTGACATATGTCATTGCAGCTTTGTTTGGATGTAGTTCGTAAAAGTTCATTATGGTCTAACACTAGTTGGTTTTAAAGAGTATATTTGTAACAAACTTAAAGCTTAGTAAGCTTAAGGTTGGGTTAACATTTTATAAAATATCTAATAATATTTTTATATTAATTTAGAGTATCTCTTAATATCAGATTTGATATTAGTTATTACTATCATGATTTGCTCTATAAATTGGGATTAGTATTGAGTCTCTGAATCAAGTCAATCACTATTATTAAAAATACTTTTCTCTCATATTTTTTACATAATCACAAATTCAACATGAATACAGAATATTGATTGTGTGATGAAACTAATGACTACAGAGCTTACCATTAACATGTAAAAAAATTCATCATCCCATCTTAGAAAGTCTGTGTTAGATCTAACTCATACAAAATCGACTTGTAAGATGACGATGCTCCCACTTATAAACACAACAGAGACCATATCTCAACAATGAGACTAGATCCACTCCTTCAAACCTAACACAATGAAGATGTTGGAGCCTCTATAATCAAGGCAAACCAAATGCCGTAATTTAGTTGGAATAAGGGCAGACTGCAATGAAGGTGGAATTTTCAACACACCCTCTCACGCTTGGTCTTCAATGAACTTGAAGCGTGGACGGTGTGGAAAGCCCAACAATAGGTCTTGGATAGACTCTGATACTATCTTTAGAATATATGGATTGGATATAACTCATCCCTTTAAAACCAGCTTGTAAAGTGACGATTGCCCTCGCTTATAAACATAACACAAGTTTATCTCTAATCAATGTGAGACTAATTTCACTCGTCAAATCCAACACATGAAGGTGTTGGGAAGGCCAGCCAAATGTTGTAATTTAGGCATACTAAGGGCGGACTACAATGAAGACGGAATTTCCAACAATTGATGATGACTATTAGAGTGGCGCAGTGGAAGTCCAACTCAAATTCTAATATAGTATCAGAGCCTATTCTAGATTTTTGGATTATATATGAAGCACTAACACCTCTAGAAGTAGGCGTGTCGCAGTGTCTGACACATGTCGGTGTCTGACACTTGTATGACACCTGTATGACACGTGTCGGAACCGTACGATACGTGTCGGAATCGTACGACACGTGTTGGAACTGTACGACACGTGTCAGAAAAGCCAAACAAGTGTCAAAAGTCAGACAAGTGTCTCCAAAAAATTAGTTTTTTTCTTTGCTTCGACACATTTTGAGTCGGTGTCCGATACCCATTTGACACTCATACAACACATGTCTGATAATTCAGACAATTTTTCTTCAAAAAAGTTGTGTTTTTCTTTTTCTCAATACACTTTATACATTTTTAGACAAATCTCCTGCACGATTAAAAAGGTTAAACATGTATTGAAGCAATGTTATCTGTAGAAAAGCATATGGGTGATAATTGTATATTTTATTTTAGGAGTAATATAATGACTCTTAAATAAGAAAATAAATAATACAAAATAAGAGATATTTCAACACCCCCCTCAAGTTGGTGCATAGATGTCAATCATGCCCAACTTGTTGATCAAATATTCAAATCTTGTTCTTTCCAAATTTTTGGTCAATATATCAGTGGTAATGTTGATTGGAAGGGATAAATGGCAAGCAGAGAGTACTAGAGTCAATCTTTTTTTTGATGAAATGACGGTCGATCTTGATATGATTTATACGATCATGTTGAACTAGATTATGAGCTATGCCTTATTGTCACAGTATAATTTCAATGGGGGTTCTACCTCTACCTTTAGTTCTTTTAGGACTCTGAGAATCCACATACCTTCACAAATTCCTTGGCCATTGCTCTAAACTCAGCTTCAACATTACTTCTTGCAACTACTCCTTGTTTTTTGCTTCTCCAATTCACTAGGTTCCCCCACACATATGTGCAATAACTTGAAGTTGATTTTCTATCAATAATGGATCCTGCCCAATCTGCATCAGTGAATATTGCCACATTTTTATCATTGGACTACTTGAAGAATAACCCTTTTTCAGGAGTTGCTTTTAAGTATCTCAAGATTCTGTGCACAGCTTCAAGGTGTTCTTCATATGGTGCATGCATGAATTGACTCACAATACTAACAAAGAAAGCAATGTCAGGACGAATATGAGTCAAATATATTAATTTTCCAACCAACCTCTGATATCTTCCAGTGTCAACTGATGTGTCCCCTTTCTCCCAAATGTTTGGCACTTTGGTCCATCGGTGTGTCGGCAAGCTTACAACCACTCATATCTGTCTCTTGTAGGCGATCAAGAACATATTTTCTCTGAGAAACAATTCCTTTCTTTGACCTTTCTACTTCCATGCCAAGGAAATATATGAGGGGACCCAAGTCTTTGATTTCAAAATCTGCTGCTAAGTTTCTTTTTAATCTCTCCATTTCTATCTCATCATTACCTGTAAGAATAATATCATCAACATAGACTATCAAAACAGTTATCATTCTATTTTGACCTGACTCTGTGAATAAAGTATGATCTGCTTGTCCTTGAGTATATTCCTGTTTCTTCAGACTGAGTAAACTTTTCAAACCAAGCTCTCGAAGATTGTTTCAACCCATACAAGGACTTCTTTAGTTTACACACCTGTGACCCAAAGGTTTCTTTAAAACCCGGAGGACAATCCATATATACTTCTTCTAAATCACCTTTGAGAAAGACATTTTTGACATCTAGTCTAGCTGATGGAGAGGCCAGTCTAAGTTAGCAGCAAGGGATAAGAGTATTCTTATTGTGTTATGCTTTGCAACAGGAGCAAAGGTCTCTGAGTAATCTATGCCATAGGTCTGAGTGAATCCTTTTGCAACCAATCAAGCTCTGTACCTTCTGATTGATCCATCAGAATTGTACTTTATTGTTACAAATATTTTTTTTGTATTAGGATCAAAACATTTATAACCTTTTTGAGAAGATGAATACCCAATAAAAACACATTTGATTGCACGGGGTGCAAGTTTACCAAGATGTTTGTGTTCGTGAACAAAAACTGTGCATCCAAATATTTTAAGTGGTAAATCAGATAGAACGGAAGCAATTGGAAAATATTTCAAGAAAATTTGCAAAGGAGTTTGAAATTTCAAAACACGGAATGACATACGGTTTATTAAATGTGCAACTGTCAAGACAACTTCACCCCATAAATATTTAGGAACATTGGTAGAGAAGAGCAGTGCTCGTGCAACTTCAAGGTGCCGGTTTCGTCTCTGCAATCCCATTTTGCTGGGGTGAGTTAACACATGAATTTTGATGCACAATTCCATTTTCAAGAAAAAAATTTCCAACAATTTTATTAAAAAATTCAGTACCATTGTCGGTTCTAAACACTTGTATTTGGGTGTTAAACTGTGTCTGCACCAATTTACAAAAGTTTTGAATTATTTGACCTACCTCGGGTTTTTCTTTCGACAAATATACTCAACAAAGTCTAGTATGATCATCTGTGAAAGTGATAAACTATTTTTTGTTGGATAAAGTACTTGTTCGATTAGGCTCCCAAAAATCACTATGAATCATTGAAAAAGGTTTTAAAGGTTTATAAGATTGAATTGGAAAAGAACTTCGATGATGTTTAGCAAACTCACAAACCTCACATTGAAGTGAATAAATGTCTTGTTCAACAAAAAGTTTAGGAAATAATAAACTTAAATATTTAAAACTAGGGTGGCCTAACCTTAAATGCCACAATATAATGTCATCCTTATTATTTGAAACAAATAAAGAATTAACAGAAGAAAAACTTATTGGTCCCAATTGATGTCTGGTTTTTGGTTCATCTTCCAAGTAGTAGAGTCCACCACTTTCCTCAGCAGTGCCAATCATCCTCCCCGAGATCAAATCCTAAAATACATAATGAGTATCAAAGAAATGAGTTTGACAATTTTTATTTTTGGTTAGCTTACTGACAGATAATAAGTTGCAAGACAAATTTGGGAGATGTAACACATCTTGGTTGGTTAGTAAGGGAGACAAAACAATAGAATCTTTTCCTACCACGGCTGAAAGAGAGCCATCAACTATTTTAATTTTGGAATTTCCTACACTGGTTTATATGAAGAAAATAAACTGGATTCACCGGTCATATGATCGGTGGCTCCAGAATCAACGATCCATGTACGATTAGGAATGACACTAAAATGGGTTGATTTTGGGAAGTTACCTTTCTGAGCTATGGAGCACGAAGGTGTTTAAGACTCGAGGAGTTTGTACATTTGGTCTAGCTGTTCCTTAGTTAATGAAAATGCATTTGGGGAAAATTGCGGCTCTTGCTCAGAAGTTGCTTGAAGTGCATGACCCTCACCCTTCTTTTTCCAATCAGGAGGCTTTCCATGAATTTTCCAATAAGTCTCACGTGTGTGATAATAATGTTCGCAGTGATCACACCAGAGTTTACCATCTTTCTTACCATATTTCTTGCCGTCTTTATTGAAGTTGTTTGTGACAAAGGTAGAATCATCAGTTGCTGAGTTTAACTTTTCCATCATTACTCTTTGTCTAGCCTCCTCCCTTCTGATTTCTGAAAAAGTTTCTCGGATAGTTGGCAGCGGATTATTTCTAAGAATTCTACCTCTTACTTCATCGAGTTCCTTGTTGAGACCAACAAGAAAAATAAAGACACAGTCATTCTCCTGCGTCTTAATCAACTGAACATTGTCTTCAGTACACCTCCAGTTATAATCATAACACTGATCCAACTCTTGTCAAAGGGCCATCAATTCATTATAATAGGTAGTGACATCCATGTCATTCTGCTTTAAATTCCATAACTTTGATTTTAGATCATAAATTTGAGAGAAATTTTTAATATCAGAGTAAGACAGTTTTACAGCATCCCAAACATCTTTTGCTGTAGGCAGATACATGTATGTTTTTCTCATACCTACCTCCATAGTATTAATAAGTCAAGCAATAATAGAAGAGTTTTCAGATTTTCAGAACCTGTAATTAGGATGTGTTGTTGCAGGCACTGGAACATCACCTGTAAGAAAATCCAACTTTCCTTTGCCTTCTAAAATAAGTCGAACAATTTGGGACCATTCAGCGTAGTTTGAGTCATCCAGTTTCTGAACATTAACCTGAAGAGAGTTATTTTGACCTCCACCTTTTGAGTTACTGTAACCACCATCAAATGGGTAGCCATAATCAGACCCAAAAAGGTTGTTGTTGAGATCACCTCTGTCATAATCAAACCCACCGTTAAAATTGTTGTTTGTCATGAAATTGGGCATTTCTGGCATGGTAAATCCACTTTCTCTGTCGGAATTGATGTTGGCGCCGCCGCCTCCACGACCTCCGGGAGGAGGTGGTGTTTAGGTAGGGTCCACCATAGTTTGGATTGGTAGGGTCAGATACAAGAACGGGTCGCCAGAAAATTTTTTAGGGAAAGCTTTACAGTATCACCCTAGTCCTAACAGAGCTCTGATACCATGTAGAAAAGTATATGGGTGATAATTGTATATTTTATTATGAAAAAAGGGCTCCTTTTGTAGGAGAGAAAATACAAAGTCAGCTCCTTTATTTTAGGACTAATATAATGACTCTTAAATAAGAAAATAAATAATACTAAATAAGAGATATTTCAACATTATCACTAAAGAGTTAAAGACATTAATTTTTATTAGAATATTTTTAACTCTTTTGATATTAGATGAATAAATGAAACTCAAATACTATGACATATATAGCGGTGTCAATGTCCTAAATTTTTGACATATCGGTGTCAGAGTGTCCGTGTCCGTGTCGGAGTATGTGCTTCATTATATTTGTAGTGATACCTGCCAACTACCGGTATTAATTTAAGATATATTTTCTCTAACTCAAGATATGGAATGCCGGTTGGTTGTTGACCCATGTCATAGAGATTCAACAAAGTTTTATGTTGGCTTTCGAATGCCTAACACAACCGTCTCCTTTTATCCGGGTTCGGGATCGGTTATGAATACCAAAGCTAACATAGGCAGGTAGAGGAATACCTAGAAATACTACTATAAGAGAAGTTATTAAGAAATATCTCGAGATTAACAATTTGGATAGGAGCATGGTTCAAGATATCTATGTCGCCGACTTCTTAGTGGGATAAGGCTTGGCTGGTGGATTATTTTCTTTTTTCTTTAATAATTATTCTATGCTCCCATTACTTTTATCTTTGTAATTGTTAGTTTTTAAGTTGAATGGTGCCACCTCTTGCAGAAATATAGAGGAAGATGATTCTGCAGATGGAAAAGTTTCTGGTGGTGATCGTAAGCTTGCAGGTGAAAACTCTTCTGTGGAGAAACAGGTCAGTGTTCATGGGAAACTGCAAGGACATACTGTTCTCCCTTTTTTGCTGGTGCCAATAATTTTAATAATTGAAACTAGCCATAGACAATGAATCTACGTAGTTGGGTAATTGGATTGATATTTTTATTTACTCTCAACTTCTATTTGCATGCTGTAGGGCACTACGGCTGCTGATAGCAGCAGATCTCAAGAGGAAAGTGCCTCAGATTCTAATTTTCCCAACGAAAGAACTGATAAGGCGGATGATTTCATATCGGATGAGGTTTTTACCTTAGCCATTCATGAGAAGTCATTTCAACAAACTGGTTCTGGCAAACTCTCTCGTGATGGAGAAGTGGGTAGTTCTGAGCCTACTGGTAATCATGAAATTTCAAATGCCAAAGAACTTCATGAAGTCACAATGAATGGAGAAGTTGGATCACCACAGTCAAGAGGAGTGGCTAATAAAGTTGGAGTAAAAGACAGTTCCATCAATAATGGCAAAAAATCATTTGCTTTTGGACCAAGAGGACTTGATAAAGGTCCCACAAAGGTAAAGTGTTTCATATTTGTTATGGCAGATTGAAGGATGTGTTGATTAATGACTTGGTTATTATTGGTTATTTCACACACACACACACAACAAAATGATTGAATTCCTTGAGAGACTAAACCCTTTGCCTTATCTATTTATAATCAAAAGCTTGAGAGACTAAACCCTTTGCCTTATGTATTTATAATCAAAAGCTTACGAACAAGATCCCTAAATTTTAGGGGTAAGAGTAAGAGCTAATATCATAAAGATGTAAACAAACTATCTTCATAATCGGAATGAAGGTAACTAAATCAGTGCAATATCTCAAGACATACATACACACATAAACCAAGCCGCGCTCTATGAAGTGAGATCAAAGGACACTTGTGCTCTATTTTTTTAAGCAAAAAAATAAATTAAATTGGCCTGATAATTCCACTAGAAACCATACACTTGTGTTCTGTTGGATGGAAGCCAGTTTTCCAACAAATCCATTTAGAGTATGGTCCTTTAATTTGTTTATGCTAATTCTTTTGAAGTCCTTTTCTTCTCATTTTAAATTGGATTGTCTTTTTTGTTTATCCTTTTTGTGCAACTGTGTGTCCTGGCTCTTCTTACACTACTGAATAATCTTATATGAGTCACTGCCATGCACTTTTTTAGTCCATCCCGCTTTGCCTTCTTTTGATATTCACCCCGTTTTAAAGAAACAAATTTGCACAGACATCAAATTTTGTTTTACACCATTTAAAGTTGAGTTATAAAATCATCAAGTGCTTTGGAGCAATAGTTTTCAGTACTTCTTTATCCAGTTTTTCTTACAGCCACTAAACTGGACCAAGTCTACTGATGCTGCTTAAAGCTTCCCTGTTTTTGTTATTGGTAATTTAATTTGTCTATAAACATGTTTTGTTATTTTGAAATATGAAGTTTATATACTTGTCTGGTTGCAATCTGAAGGCAATGAAGGCACTGCACCCTGCAGAAGGAAATGAGCTGAGCAAATTTAGTGACCCTCCGGGAGATGCCTACTTGGATGATTTATTTCCTTTAGACAAACGACATGGGGAGGTTGTAGGTGAGGCATCCACATCTGCATCAACTTCACACATGGCAAAAGGCAATGTATCTTCAATTGACGGAGGAGAAAAAGACCTGGCCAAAGAGCTGAGGGCTACAATCGCAAGAAAGCAATGGGAGAAAGAGAGTGAAATTGGGCAGGCAAACAACGGTGGGAACCTTTTACACCGAGTTATGATAGGTGTTCTAAAAGATGATGTGATTGATATAGATGGTTTGGTATGTTCATCAGTTTTCATAATCAAGAATACCATTTTTCTTAAAATCCCATGTTTATATCCTTCTAACTTGTTTTTGGCCTCATCTTTTGATCAGGTATTTGATGAAAAACTTCCTGGAGAGAACCTTTTTCCTCTGCAGGTACGAAGGCTTTTTTCCTCCGTCCTCTGCATAGCATACAACTATTGTGTAGTGTGGTCTGCTTTAATCATTTTTTGGCATCTCGTATATTATTTCTTAGTTTATATTTTAGGTTTTTGATGTGGGTGTATGTTTATAGAATGTAAGGTAGAACACACTCGTTCTTGAAAAATGTCAATTGTTTGTATACCATGTATATTAGAGTGTAAGAGTAATAAAGTTTTGTAATTAGCTTTCCTGTTAAGCTTTATCTCTAGTCTGTTAGTGTTAGTTATTGTGATGTTAAGCTTCAAATCTAGTCTGATAGAGTTAGTTATTGTTTTGTTAGGGTTTGTTATAAAGGGTGTATGTTAACCCCTTGTTGAGTGTGAACCCTTCCAGAACAATAAATAACTAACAAACTAGACTAGAGTTAAAGCTTAACAACACAATAACTAACTCTAACAGACTAGAGTTAAAGCTTAACATGAAAGCTAATTACAATCAACTACTTATTACTCTCATATAGAGATATTTTCGGAAAAAAATACCCTTGATTTACCCATGGTTTAGTACATTGGCATCTTGTGTGACATACATCATATCTCTGGTGTACATTTGTCTGACAAATGGTAGAAGGCATGTTACGGGGAGGGGAGGAAAAAAACACTACTCTCCATCAAGGTGGTCTAGATCGAGATCTTACATTAGATCGGGAGCAAATAGCAAAATCGTAAAGTAATAAATCGTAGCTAAGATCACATGATCCTACCCAATTATTTTTGTAAGACCGAGAGGGGGTAACAAGATCATAAAACATTGATTTCAACAAAAATCATAAGATCCTACTAAATGAAAAAATAATAGTGTATATTTTAAGTATTTTTACATGATATATGTTAGTAGGCAGGTGTGTTTATGAGAAAATGACTCTTTCATATTCTTAAGACATGAATGATCGAGTTTTATACTTTATTACTACCTCATGTAACATTTGTTAGACATTAGGGACATATTTGGTCAACTAATAGGATTGCCACACGTCAATTACTTCATCACTTCAAAAGGTATGCATCCCCGTCGACCGTAATTGGCGTGCCTATGCATCTTGTCATCCTTACCACCTTTTAGTGATGGTGGTCGAAGAACGGCCAATCATGGCCGAAACTCCCAAAGATCGTATAAAATCAATGATTTTACGATTTTTTTTTTTTTACAATTTGGCTACAACTTGCGATTCTACTTAAGACCGGGATCGATAGTAGTGAGTGAGATTGTAAAATCTTAAGATTTAAGTTCTAGATCGAGATCTTAACAACCATTCTCTCCAGACTATATATTGTTCCCAATTCTTGTGATGTTTAATGTAATGATGTATCCTTTATTTTTATTGTTTTTCAGAGGTCTAATGTAATAATGCAGCCTTTATTTTAATTGCAAAATTGAGTTCTTTTAGTCCCTGATAAGGGACTTGTGGGGTGCTAAAGATATATTACTTTTGTTAAATACATGGACTAAAAATGTAAAAAACTTTTTATGTGGCCCGAAATTAGCATATTTCCAATTATATTGGGACAAAATATATTAACCTTTTATTAAAATGACTACCTGATTATTTTCCTTCAGTGGTCTAACAATGTTATCTAAGTTGTGTATGTCTTTTGGTCTAGGGCGTCCAATCGTTATTTTCCAACTGAAAAGGTAACTCTAGTTGCTTTTTGTGCCACCTAAAATATATTAATCTTTTATTAAAATGACTGCCTGGTTATTTTTCTGGAGTGGTCTAACAATTCTATCTGATCTGTGTATGTCTTTTGGTCTAGGGGGTCCATTTGTTATTTTCTAACTGAAAAAGTAACGTGAGTTGCTTTTTATGCCACCTAAAATTGCACTTTGGCACCTTCTATTCACTCCCAACACTTGAACTCTATAAACTATTTTTCCAGAAAAATTGTCAAAAAAGAATAAAATCTAGAATGTTATGTGGATTTCAAAATATTTAAGTTCCATTTTCCAGCCCTTACTTGTCTCTGCTATGTAACTTCTTTCCAATTTTAAGGTGATATTCTATCTGCTATCTTGCTTTTTAGCCTCAGATGTTTAACAACCATACTCTGCATGTGAAACATGCCTCCATGCTGAGAAAGTGTTAAAATTGGCCTGCCGGTGTGTTTTTGTATGTGAGACATGCATTTGTGATGTATTTACCATTATATTTTTGTAGGCTGTTGAGTTTAGCAAATTAGTTGGTTCATTAAAACCCGAGGAATCAGAAGATGTGATTGTCTCTGCCTGTCAGAAACTCATTGGTATATTTCAGCAGCGCTCAGAGCAGAAGCTTGTTTTTGTTACCCAGCATGGTTTACTTCCTCTAACTGACTTGCTTGAAGTTCCTAAAACACGTGTATGCTGTCCATCTTGATACTTCATTTGACTTAATTATTGAATGGCATAGCTGACAAATAAATAACTAGGATGGAAACATCTTCAATTGTTTCAGGTCATATGTTCTGTGCTTCAGCTTATAAATCAAATAATTAAAGACAACACTGATTTTCAAGAAAATGCTTGTCTTGTTGGATTGGTAAGTCCTATGTATGTTTTATGCTCCTTTCTCTATAGCACTATTTTATTATTGTTCTTATTTGTGGATTAAATTCTACATTAAAATCTGTCTAGTTAACATTAGGGAGGTGTAAGCATTAATCACATTAACGGTGTCTTGTTACACAACCTCTTAGAATGCGTGGGGAGGACCTTACTCATCCCTACAAAACCGGCTTGTAAGGTGAGGATTGCCCCCACTTATAAACACAACACTAACCATATCTCTAAGCAATGTGAGATTAAATTCATCTCTTCAAACTCAACAGAAGAAGGTGTTGGAGGCTGCAATGAAGGAAAGTCAAATGCCGCAATTTAGGCAACTAGGAGCGGACCGCATTGAAGGTGGAAATTCCAACACACCCCCTCATGTTCGGGCCTCAATGAAGGCGGAAATTCCAACACACTTCCTCATGCTCGGGCCTCAATCAGACCGAAGCATGAATGATGCGGGAAGCCCAACAAGTGATCTAGGATAGGCTCTGATACCATCTATAATGTGTGGGTTGAGCCTAACTCATTTCTACAAAACCGACTTGTAAGGCGGGGATTGCCCATACTATAAACACAACACATGTCATATCTCTAAGCAACGTGAGACTAAATCTACTTCTTCAAACCCAACACAATGAAGGTGTTTGCAATGAAGGCAAGCTAAATGCTGCAATTTAGGTGACTAGGGGTGGACCACAATGAAGGTCGGAAATTCCAACACAATCCTAGCATTAAGTATTAAAATTATTACGTCCTTGATCTATTTCATTTTGATTTGACTAAGCTTTGCGTTGGCTGTCAAATGCCTAACATAATCCTCTTGTTACAAAAAAGCACAGAGGACAAAACTGAAACAAGACTGCCCTAACTATAACTTTTCTTTATGCTTAACTTTATCACCAAGTGTCCCCAAATATTTTGGTTCAGCTATATTTAATGCAAAATTTCTTGGTAGATTCCTGCAGTCATGAGCTTTGCTGTACCTGATCGTCCCCGGGATATTCGTATGGAAGCAGCTTTTTTTTTACAGCAGCTTTGTCAGTCAAGGTTTCAAGTGTATTCTATTTGTTATCACCACTTGGATTTAATACTTTGAAAATCAGACATTGAATTGATTGTTAACACTTGATGCAGTTCTTTGACGTTACAAATGTTTATAGCTTGCCGTGGAATACCTGTTTTGGTGGGATTTCTCGAAGCTGATTATGCCAAGTACAGGTTAGTTAGTTTATAAATTGTGTTTATGTAAATTACATTTTACGTGAGATTATAGTTTACACTTACAGTGCTATGGGTACACCAAAATGTGGTATTATTGCAACATAAATTGTATAGTTTACACTTAGTGCTATTTTTGGGAAAGACAACCACATAAAGCTCTTTGCATAATGAGTTTTAGGATAGTATTAGGATGGTGCTTGTTCAGAAATATATTTTTCATCACATACACACACACCACACCCACATGTGAACACAACATACGTTCCTGTTTTCTCTGTTTGCTGTTCTAGCCTGTATTGTGTATAAGCTTGTAATTTGCAATAAATTCTCATTTTTTGTCCAATGAAAGCTGACTAACTCGACCTCTGTCTCAGGGAAATGGTTCATCTGGCTATTGATGGCATGTGGCAGGTATTTAAGCTTCAGCAGTCAACGCCTAGAAATGATTTTTGTCGGATAGCTGCAAAAAATGGCATACTCCTTAGGCTTATAAATACACTTTATAGCTTAAATGAGTCAACCCGGTTAGCATCTATGTCTGTTGGGGGAGGTTTTTTAGTTGATGGTCCGATTCCACGACCACGTTCTGGTATATTGGATCCTACTCATCCTTTTTCAATTCAGAATGAGGCACCGCTGTCTTCAGCAGATCAGCAAGATCTTTCTAAATTAAGGCGTGGAGTTCTTGATCATCACTTAGAGCCTTCACATTCTTCATCATCCAATCCTAGAAGATCCGATGCTAACTACCAAATGGATGTCGATAGACCTCAGTCAAGCAATGCTGCAGCTGAAGGTGTGCCACTAGAAAAAAGTTCAAATCTTGCATCCAGGGAATCTTCAGCGGGTACAATGAAAGAAAGAGAAAACGTCGATCGTTGGAAAAGTGATCCTTCTAGAGCTGATGTTGAACTAAGACAACGACTTAGTATTTCTGCCAACAGGACATCAACAGATAGGCCTACAAAGTTGACAGAAACGCCCTCAAACGGGTTATCAGTAACAGGAGCAACTCAGCAAGAGCAAGTTAGGCCTCTTCTTAGCTTGTTGGAGAAAGAGCCCCCATCTGGACGTTTATCTGGACAGCTTGAATATGTACGTCAGTTTTCAGCGTTAGAAAGACATGAAAGTGTACTCCCTTTGTTACACGCTTCTGAGAAGAAAACAAATGGTGAACTAGACTTTTTGATGGCAGAATTCGCAGGTAATGAACATCTATCTGCTTCTTGATGAAGATGTTCAAAAATGGATAAATAGCAGAAATCTACCTGTTACAATTCTGATAACAATGAGAGTAAACTGGATTTCATTGAATGCCTGAATTTCTAATTAATTGCAATAGTAACTACCTAACTGTAACTAACTGAAGGTAGTTCAGTTAGTTATTGAAGCAGAATAACCTGGAATACTACAAAGCATGCATGGAAGAGCCTAGAATATTAGCCAACACAGAAATGCTCTGTTTTCTTAATTTTTTCCACACTTTTCTGATATTCTTCTTCTGTGGTTTGTTGTCTTTATTTGTGTTTCTGTGGACTTTTTATGGTTGTGCAGATGTTTCTCAACGTGGAAGGGAAAACGGAAATCTTGACTCCAGTGCTAGAGTGTCTCAAAGAGTTACTCCCAAGAAATTAGGGACTTTTGGTTCTAGTGAAGGAGCTGCTTCCACATCTGGGATCGCATCTCAGACAGCATCAGGTGTATTGTCTGGTTCAGGTGTTCTAAATGCTAGACCAGGTAGTGCTACTTCATCTGGACTACTTTCCCACATGGTTTCATCATTGAATGCAGAAGTTGCAAAAGAGTACCTTGAAAAAGTGGCAGATCTTTTGCTTGAGTTTGCACAAGCGGATACAACGGTGAAGTCTTATATGTGTAGTCAAAGCTTGCTTAGTCGACTTTTCCAGATGTTTAATAGGGTAGAACCACCTATTTTGTTGAAGGTACGACACAACATATCCTTTAGTAATTTAGCTTATATCCCATTGCATAGTTTCTAACCATTTTGGCATTGGCATATTTTTAGATACTGAAGTGTATTAATCACCTGTCAACTGATCCAAATTGCTTAGAAAATCTTCAGCGTGCTGAGGCAATCAAATACTTGATACCAAACCTTGAACTCAAAGAAGGGTCTCTTGTATCAGAGATACATCATGAGGTGAGTCTTACTGACCTTACTCTGTTACAATTTAGCTTTGGGCATAAATGCTATTTATTGTTCTATTCAATATTTTAAAAACTTATTTCAACACGTGATTAATTGTTAGTGGACAAGTGGTAGATCATAAACTCTATAAAGCATACATGTATTTCTTGTTAACTTTTTTTTTTGAGCCTAGTGAAATTGAAATTTAAGTATGATCTGATTTGTCAAAAGAATAGAAGTCTATTATTCAAAACTGAACAGAAAATGGAGCATAAAATTGTTCCTTAAGGCGTGTTTGTTTGATGGATTAAAATTATAATTTTGGGAATATCATTGTCAGGAACTTTATTCCTATCAATGTGTTTGGCAAATGAATAAAATTCCCAGGATGTATCTCTGATACAGAGTGATGTCCTCCATCTTTCCATCCCCATGCAAGACTCGCCTCATGCTGTATCTCTGATACAAGAGGCCCTTCTTTCCATAATGATGTCCTTCATCTTTCCATCCCCTGTTTATTTATTTAACTAATATCCTCTTGCTATCTATCTACCGTAATTGTCCCCAACTAATTTGCCCCTTTCCCCTACCCGAAACCCTAACTAACATGTCCAAACAAGTTTAGCAGTAGTCATGTAGTAACTACAAGGTTCTTTTGCTATTTCAAAAATAAATACAAAATTAGCACCAACAGTACTATAAGTCTAGCACGTTCTAGATTTATTTTGGGTTGACTTTTCTGATTTCTTTTCACATGTTGCTTTTAAATTTATAGAAGTGCTTCAAACTAAATACAGAACAGTATACTGTGTATACCACATGAGGAAAATCATTTATGCAAGGAAAAGGAATCAGCAATCATTTAAGTGTAGGGAATAAAATCAGTAACTGAAAGTCCTATCCAAACTTATCTATGGAAACATATTAAGAACCACAAGGAAATAACAACAATTATCTATAGTCAACAGAACTGTGTTATTATACCCAATTTTTTGTTCCTTCCTATCTTGCTTTATGGCATGTGTGCGTGTGCATAAAAAGTTGGCTTGAATCTCATCTTTCCTTTCTCTTTCATATAGGTCCTGAACGCACTGTTCAACTTATGCAAGATAAATAAGAGGAGACAGGAACAAGCAGCTGAAAATGGAATCATTCCCCATCTAATGCAATTCATCACATCAAATTCTCCCTTGAAACAATATGCATTGCCTCTGTTGTGTGACATGGCGCATGCATCTCGTAACTCAAGGGAGCAGTTAAGGGCTCATGGTGGTTTGGATGTCTATTTGAACCTTCTTGAGGATGAGTTTTGGTCTGTGACTGCACTAGATTCAATTGCTGTTTGCTTAGCCCATGACAATGATCATAAGAAGGTTGAACAAGCATTGCTGAAGAAAGATGCAGTTCAGAAGCTGGTGAAGTTCTTCCAGAGCTGTCCAGAGCAGCATTTTGTACACATATTGGAGCCGTTCTTGAAAATCATCACGTATAGATTCTAAGTCCTTTCTCTTCACTTCTCCAATGAAGTATTTGGTTTTGTTTGTCCTTTAATTGCTTTTATTATTTGATAAACATGTTTTGCATTGCCGGGTTATAAGCAAAATGTTGTACAAAAATCCCTTTTCCTACTATGAGGTTAATGAGTATAGGATAGACAAGTATTTCACTTTTTACAAGGTAAGAAAGAAATTACAAGTGAGGAGGATAGATGTTTTCCTAGGGGGAAAAGTAAAAAATCCAGATATGTGGTATTTTATGCAGCCAAATATCATTTTCTTTGTTCTTCTCCTAACGCTATCATTTTTACTTTCTTTTGTGCTGAATTTTTATTTAATGTCATCATATAATAACAATATTGCAGAAAATCTGCACGGATCAACACCACTTTGGCTGTTAATGGATTGACGCCATTACTCATTGCAAAGCTTGATCATCAAGATGCTATAGCTCGTCTTAATTTACTCAGGCTAATAAAGGTATGCATATATGATACTTGTTTTAAAATCTTAACCAGGTTTTGCATTGTTTCTTTAGACTAAGAAGTGTCAAAAAATGTCATTTAGATGAACATACTCTGGTATTGGATTTTGGGAATTTCAGAAAACTACTAAAGGTGATGTTCACGTGTGTGGCTTCACATACTGAAAAAAATTCAAAATTATATTCTTATCTTGTGTAGAGCTTCAAATAGTAATGTATGATAGAATAAGTCAATGAGAGCTTCGTTTGACAAATTGTTAATAAACATTTCTTCAAAATTATACTAACATCTATTTCTTAAAATGTTGTGGCAGGCTGTTTATGAACATCACCCTCAGCCCAAGAAACTGATTGTGGAGAACGATCTCCCCGAGAAACTCCAAAACTTAATAGGGGAACGCAGAGATGGCCAAGTGTTGGTTAAACAGATGGCAACTTCATTACTTAAAGCATTACATATAAACACTGTGTTGTAAATTAACTTGTAACGGTCCTTTTCCTGTTGTGGTATATTTATCTCATTGGGGGAGAAAAGGTATTTATTTGTTGTATATAAGTTCCCCTTTATTTGGTTTGCTTATTTTACTGCGTTTGGTTGAGTGAAAAAAAAAATAGTATAGGCTGGAGAACATGTTTTTGACTGTGGTAGTGTATTTAAGTGGGTGGTTGATTTCTTATGCATCAATGGCCGTTTTTTTGTTTGTGGCCAAGCCACTATGTATACTAGTTTGGATGCGAGATGGAAAAAATATTAAGGTATTGCGTTAAGGAACAATTTATTTTAGTCACTTGAGTTTTTTGTTTACAAGATGTTTACCTGAATTATTGATAAACTACCAAGTGCATATTGTAATATCTGAATATTATGCAGCATTAAATTATTTCATTGATACTCTTCATGAGAGTTTAATATGTCACCCTCAAAATTATACATGCTATTCTCTAAATTTTTTTTTATTTCATTTATATTTTTGGATGAGTTGAACACAATTTCCGGATAAAATTTACTCCCTCCATTCTCTTTTATAAGAAAATTTTGACTTTTTAGATTCATTAAATAAATGATGTATTTAGGTTATATATTGGTTAGATACATCAATTATTTAATGAACTTAAAAAGTTAAAAGTTTCTTATAAATAGGAATGGAGGGAGTATGGTAGAAGGATTGAAATTTTTGGTACCACCCAAATTTTTGGTACCATAAATTTTTAATAGTGTATTTAAAATTTTCAGTGTATCAGAAATTTCAAATTAATTGAAATTTTCGATAGTAAAAAAACATGGTAGAAAAAAATTGAACTATCGGAAATTTTAAAATTTTTGGTATTCTATGACGAATTGGAAATTTTAAAATTTTCGGTATTCTATGACGAATTGGAAATTCTAAAATTTTTGGTATAAATGGTAAACAAAAATATTGGATACTTTAAAAAATTTTCGGTGCGCAAATATCAGATATTTTGATACAAAATATCGGAAATTTCACAAATCTACTGTAAATTCTCATTTGTTCGTGAAATTTCTAGTAACGCTCAAGAAATTTCTGATATTGTCTAAAAATTTGAAAATCTGGTTGATAACGTAAATTTAGAATTTGTGGTGAATAATTTGGGTCTGAGTATAAGGAATTTGTCGAGAGGTGGCACAAGGAGAAGTCGACTTTCCACTTTCATATTGGGGATATGACGTCACTTGATGACGTTGTCTGCTTGCTTCACCATCTATTAGAGGTAGGTTACTTAACCATCATAAGGTACCACGAGCTGAGGCGGTTGAATGGATGATTGAGTATCTGGGAGCTGATCCATATAGAGCAGCTGAAGAATGCAGAACCACAAATGGGTCGCATGCAAAGTTCTCTTATCTGAAGGAACTATATGAGGAGCATCTGGTTACAGTAGTAAGGGTCGAGGATGATGGTGACAAGGTTTTTGTCCAGTACCATCGAGATTTTGCTTTACTGTGTTACCTTATGTTTTTGGTTGGCACGTCCCTCTTTGTGGACAAAAATGCCTACTACGTAGATGTGACATACCTCCGGTATTTTATGGATCTGAGTATAGTTCGTTAGTGGAACTGGGAGGCTGTCATTTTGTATACCTCTACCAGAAGTTGAATGAAGCTTCAAACTGGAGGACGAGACAACTCATTGGCTCTTGCACACTCCTCACGATACCTTTTATTTCAACTATTAACTTTAATTTGATTTTTATAATTTGTACTTACATATTATCTAATTGTTGTTTCAGAGCTGGATAATCTATCACTTCCACCACATTTATGGTTTTGAACCAGACCCGATTTATACTGACGACATGCCTAGCGCTGCAAAGTATATCCTTCATAGAGTGAATCACTCATTTCCGCCTTATCAGGTGTATCTTGATCGTACTAATCACGATGAAATCAAATGGATGCCATTTGAGGATTATAAGGATGTTGTCTCATTCGATCCCATCTCGTTATACTCAGGGTGGCTAGCTTATGGATCAAATCTTATGTCAGATATCTTCCAGAATGGTGTATCCGACAGTTTGACTATGTGCAGAAGATACCGAGATCTTCTTTTCAGACTACTTCTGACACCATGGTTCGGTGGGATCTTGATGGAATCTTCCAAGATTGGAAGAATAATTTGGTGCCACAAGAGTATCAGATGATGCCGGCATCCCAGAGTTGGTATTGTGTAGAGGGTTACGTGACATGGTTCTTTAACGTGTCACGCCCTATCATGATACTGGATGCTCTTGGACTTCCGCCTAGGCCACCACATGAGGAGCTCTTAGAGAACCAGCAGGAGGAGTGTAACGCATGCAATTTGATTAATTATTTATTTAATTAAATATTTTTGGATTATTGGTGAAGTTGCGAGATGTTGAGAATTATTGTTATGAGTTGTTGAATTATTATTAATTAATTATTTAGTTAATTAATAATAATTATATTGTGGAATTAAAGGGAATATATGAAATAATGTTGGGCTTAAGCTATTGGTTGGAAGTAGTAAAGTGAGGGTGTAGGTTAGGCCCAAGAGAATTGATATATAAGGCTAAGCTGACACAAGGGTTTATTTTAGTTGGAGAATAAGAATTTTTGTACGCTGCCCAGAAGAGTTGCACGGAGAGAGAAGCAAGCTGCCCGGTGACGAGCAGAACGAAGCAAAGTCGTTGGCTAGAGTTTTTGGTTGAGCGACCTTCAATCTAGGTAAGGGTGGGGTTCTGACCTTATAATGGGATTTATGATGTTTGTTATGGAGAATTTGTCGTAATTGTGATTGTTGCCCGTGATGTTGCTGAACTTGTTAAGGGAAGATGTTTGTTTTGTTATGTTGTGGACGTTTTGATTTACGTGGTTGTCGGTTTAATCGATGTGTAGGTTAGGTCGTGATGGTTGTTAGGACGTTAGGTTATTCCGAGCGATTGGCAGGAAAATTGGTAAATTGTCGAAGTGGTCGTTTTAGGGAGTTTCCGCATGACTGTCTTGTATGTTGATGAATCCGTTGATAGGAAATATAGTTGCCCATTACTGTGTTACTCCGAGCGGTTGGCCAGAAGTTATGAATTATAGTGGTGTGTTCATTAATACGTTGTATCGTGTCAGTGTTGTTGTTCGAATTAGTGATCGTGGAGGATACTGAAGAAGTAGGTATCGAGCGGTATTTTAGGCTCTGAGGCGTGTCAGGAATTATGTGTTAGATTTCGAGCAGAATTAGATTGCATGACATGTCGAGGAGCATAGGTTGGTCGTTACCCTGTTTTCCCCTGTGCATGTCGAGGAGTATGGATTATTTGTTAAGCTGTCCTAGTTATTATGCATGTTGAGGGGCACGTAGTTCTCTATCCCTTTTTGTCCGTACATGTTGTGTTTTGGTCGTTACCAGTGCTGTGTGAAATTATTGTTAAGTTGTTGTTTGATTATGTTAATGACTGAATCTTTGATTGATGTGATAGGTTTATGGTAATTGTTGATTTATGTTGGGTTGTTGTGATCTTGTGAATTCTTTTTGATAATGCGAAGTTGCAGGGAATTTACTTGATGATGAATTATCTCTATTTACTGGTAATAATGGTGATGTGGACTTATGTCTTGCGATGAATGATGATTGTTGTGAGTGTGATAATGCATTCATATACATTTACATACTCTGTGATGGCCTGGATTGGCAAACTGCAAAGAAGGCTTATGCCTTGTTGATGCCTCTATTTATTGGCAAATTTTAAGATGGGAGTTTTGCTCCAATGGTACCACATGTATTCTCATAGTATTGAGTCGCATTCCAAGTAGTATGATTGAGCTGTTGTGTTGATGGATTAATTGTTGTATTTTGTTGATAGCCTGTTGTGATTGTTGTTGTTTATAAGTTATGAAGTGGTGATTTTTGCATGAATTGATTCCAATATAATATTTATCATACATTCTATTGTAGTGTTCGATACCTCACCCCTTCTGTTTGAATGTTACCCTTATGTTCGTAACATGCAGGTAATCCAGAGTGAAAGCGGTTGACCTTCAGTAGTTCGAGTTGGTATCATTGCTCTGATACGTAACACCCGGGGGGATAAACGCTTGTTGCTTTAGTATTTGTTATTTCAGTTAGCTGAACTTTAAGTTGATTGTTGTTAAGTACTTGTTATTCAGAAGTTGCTTTCATGTTGGATAAAGATGTTATTATGATTCCGTTGCGTAGTTGTTCAAGTTGTTGATTTAAAAGATTAATTTATTTTGCTGTTGGTTCATCCGAAGTTTTAAAGTGTTATGTATCCATGTTGAATGTAATGGTTTTTAAGTTGAATTTGTGGCATCCTGATTCAGTTATATAATTTTTATAACTCTGACTTACATTTATATTGTCAGGTAGAATTGTGGTGTTACAACGAGGATGACCATGCCACTGATCTCTTGTCGATCTGTCAGCGGATACACCTCATTGGGAAGGAGGCATTAGATTTCGGGGTCATCGAGAGGGATGGTCCTATGGCAGTTTCCATCATTGAGAGGATGGTTACAGGGACATCCAGTGCGACGCAGTATATGAGGCAGAGGAGGTCACAGGGGGTTAGGATTAGGCATACACAATAGTAGTAGCCTATCTTATATATTTTTTTTAAAATGTAATATTTACAGTACGCACTTTTCGAACAACTAATGTACTCAATTATGTTTTCGTATGTCTGAACATCTAATCTAATCATTATGTCCGTATTATCATCTTCGCTTCATATTTTCGAAAAAATCATAAAAAATTTGTCTGTTTCAAAGGTAAGGGTAATGATGTTGTTTTAAATAAAAATGACACAAACAAATGAAGTTTTGGATATGCATATCTGAAACAACCTGTACATATGTTTCAGATATGCATTTCTGAAACATCCAGTGAAATTTAAAATCTAACGATTAAGTATTAAAACGTGAAATAATGGTGACTTTGGATATGCACATCTGAAACATATGTGCGTTCGAAAGTGCATATCTGAA